GGGGCGAAAGCCGTAACCAGAAATGAACTCGGGGTCCCGGCTGGAGCGGGGGGCCGGCACCCGCCGCCTTCCCCGGGGGAGGGGGACGGAGGTGGCGGGGGTGACCACGGGCACGAAGTGAAGCCGGGGCGCCCAGCGCCCTGGCAGCAGAAGGCACGCCGCGGCAGAGGTGGCCCAGGCCGGCCCAGCTCCAGCAGCGGCACCGGGGGATGTCCTGTTCGGTCCGCGGTGCGTTCGGCAGGGAGGTGAGAGGAGAGCAGCAGCGGAAGAGGCGACTGGCCTATGAAGGAGTAAAAGACGCAAGTGAGCCAAGACGTTATGGACCCACAAATATTTGAAAGATTTAAACCACAAGAAAGCGATGGGGTTTTTTTCCAAGCGGTACCTGGGGATGTGCAGAGAGACGTGAGGGGAGGGTTTAGGCAGCGCACCAAGAAAATCTTCCTGGGATCTTTAAACCTAAGCCAGGAAGCGGAGAGGCCTCAGGACTTCAGCCTGCCGGAGGCAGAAGGGATCAGCGGTACGTGCCCGGTCAGAGCGCGGTGATCCTTGGGCACGGCCGGCCGAGCTCTCAGGTCCTGACTCCTGAAAGTTTCTGACCAGAAGTGGTTACCTTAGCTTACCTTCAGGTTGTGGCGTCGCTTCTTTTTTCAGGCACAACCTTGCGTTGACCGAAATAAACAAAAATGCTTTGATTTCTGCCCACCCTTCCCTCTTGGTCATCCGGAGCACAGCTTCAAATGCATTCGTCTCGACCTCGACCTTGACCTGGCCCAGGTCGCTTTAGGCTGAACTAATTTCATGAACGAAGCCCCCTCCCGGTAGCGGAAGGGCGGGTGGCACGGTGGCCTTCCCAGCTCTTCTGGCCATCCCTGTCCGGCCGCTCCGGGCGGCTCAAACGTTGCCGTGGAGTTTCTGGGGAATACAAACGCTGCCAACTAATCGGTTTTATTTTTCAGTTACGCGCTTGGGTAAGCCTGAGAAGAAACATCATTTGTTACGCTTCCAGTAAACTTCACAGCAGTAGCTAAAATAATCGGAGATGATTCGTGATAGGTTGTTATGAAAACAGCCCAACGCAGGGGTAAAAAAAGTTACTTGTGACTATAAAAGGAGACTTGCAATTGAAATGGGGAGAGGTGTCAAAAGCTTATCAAGCTCACGTTGATGAGAGATCCCAGAGGAACGGCAAATACGCAACATAGTTTTTGTTGAATGCATACCTCTGCCAAAGCTGTCGCAGAGGGGACGTGCCGGATATTTCACTTTTAACCTCCAGGTGAGCCTGGGGACGGCAACGTACGCTCTTGTAAAGAAGCAGTCTGTGCGAAGATTAACTTAATTCTGATCGTTTAATGTTAGTCAGCATCAGTTACAAAGCGGAACTTCTCATCGAAATAGTATTTCGGATATTAATCATATAAAATAAATCAAGGCTCTGCCTTTCAGAATTCATGCCTAATTTCAGTACTTGCCGATGTGAACGTTCACCGTAATAATGCAGATAAATGAAGCATCGGTTGTTATGTGAACTTGTCTGAAAAAATTGTCTCCTGTGAACTTGAACTATCGGATATCTCAGGAAGGTATGGAGGGAGAAGCGTGTATTTGTGTGTACAACTACTCATGACGATTAGAGGGAGAGCTGCTTTTTATGCTTCTGCAAGACTTGTCCCCATTTCACATATTCTTTCTGTATTGATATTCTAGAATACGTGTTCCTTGGGGGTCAGACAGCAAGGTCATCTTTATTTGGAGTTGTCAGTTAGGAGGGAAATGTTTTTATTCAGTAGCAATCCAAAATTCCTGCAGTAGTTTGAATTCACTGTGCAGGTTGGAAAGTGCTTCTTCTGGATGATTGTCCAGTTTGGTCAATTCGATGCACGTTCCTCATCTTCCTCCTGGTAGCTACCACGTGCCTTCCTGGGAGTAGCGAGGACAAGGAGTTTCCCCTCACGAAACCAAGGAAATCCCGAAAGCCATATTGAGGCTTCCCTACAATAAAAAAACAAACCTGAAACCTGTTTATTTGTTACTCTTGTGTTATTCTTTGTAGTGCAGATTGACAGTCTGGATTTTGGGCTAGAAATGTTCTGCTTCCTTTCTCAGTCCTCTAGCTCTGCTCCTGAAGTTCTCTGTCACCTTGTTTGAGAAGCTCTCCTGAGACATACAATTACTGAGTAAAAAACGATTAGCCAAAATCCATGGGTTGCTGCAGATCCAGCTGGTAGTGGAACAGCGAGAACGTCCTGAGGAGGCCAGACGGAACGCGTGCCAGCGCTACCTGGGCTTTCCAGTGTCTATTAGTTTTACATTTCGTTCCAGTTGGCAGAAGGATCTCAGAGCTCTTCCTGAAAGATATTTTGGAAAAAAAGGTTTCTTGGACATCACATGGCATTCCACAAGCTGTGCCGTTTAGATCTTCCGCGTAAGGCTGTCGCTTTAGCAGTAACACAGTCTTTTTGTTCCGTTTTAAATGGCAGCTCGTTGTGCTCATGACTGGGGGATGCAACAGCGTGTTTCTTGCTCTCTACCCGGAGTCATGAAGGACTCGGGATCTGTGAACTGGGTTTATGCAACGTGAGTTTAGATTGATGCTGAATCTTGTAAACCTGATTCAGCTGGAACACCAGAGCAGGAGCGTGGCGTGTGTTTCAGTAGGTTAGTGTGCTTGGGCAGAGCTGGCTTTTATGGGAAATCCCGGTAAAAGTATGTTGCCAAAAGGAAAAACAATAGCATAGATCTGTGTGAAGACTTGTGCTTGAAATATCTAAAGCAAGTACGGTTGCCTTCAGTTTCCCCCTAAAAACAGGTGCGCAAGTTCTAGCTGAGGAAGACACTCACGTTAGTTTGCAGGATCCTTTCACAGAGGGCAGTCACGTTACCGAAAGAGGAGGGTGGGCTCAAAGGACTGAGCGCTTCATGAAATTTTTATAAGACGTGATGTGAAAGGAGCTTAAACTCACCTTCAGAAGCCTGAGAAGGGCAAATCCTTGCAGGTGTCCGCTTCACACCCTGATGTCCTCCGGTTGCTTGAGCGTTAGACGAGGCATAATGTAGATTGCTCCACTTGTTGAAGTGTGCTGACGATACTCGTGCAAAAACTGCAAATGCAAGATCAACGTTGACCGGGACGTTTGGAAGTGGAACAGAAAGACGAGGAGTTCTGGGGCCGCGGGCATGCTGAGAGCGGCCGTCCGGCGTCGGGGGGAGCGGCTGTGCTTCGCCTGGGTGCCCCCCCCACCCCCAGGGCGAGCGCAGGACCAGAAGTGACTTTCAATGTTGGGGTGTGAAGGTCCTGAATTTACAGGGCTGCAGCAGTGCCCTCGGTGGGGGCACAACACGGGCATCCTACGGCAGCACACAGCCTCGCCTCGCTGCAATGAGGTGGTGGAAATATGCCTCTTTGTTGCCCACTGATTTCAGAGCCCACCTCACTGGGGTAGTTCACTCCCCTTACTGGTTTGTTTTACCATATTTGCAAGCGTTGGAAAACTGTGCTACATTTGGCTGCTTTAATGATTTCCTTTGTAGTGAGCTGGATTGCAAGACTGTGTGAAAACTTCCGTGTAACAATTATTTTCACTTGATTCTTGATAGAAAGGTAACGTCAGTTTTCCCAAGTGTGGAAATGCAGTATATTCAGGGGATGTGATGCCTGGAAATGGACAAACTATTTAATGATTTTATCTTGAATCCTCGCAGCTGCTGCAGCCCAATTAAAGATCTATTATTCTGTAAGGAGGCTTCTAGAAAGTGACTTTAAAAGTGTAACGCACAAG